TTCATATCTCGATGAACGCACGCTGACGTATGGACCAATTGTTAAATAGCCTTCGAAGACTGTTACATAACAACAGAATAAACAGAAATTCGGAGAGGAAGGGCCTACCCAAGGTACCGCCTCTAAAAGAGCTAAGTGCTATTCGTCTGAGTTACCTAATTATAAATTCAGTGCGGAGGATGAACAGTACTTGTTGTTGTCACCTTTAAAGGAAGAGGTGTTGAATGTGCTAAATTAAAATTTGAGAAATATTTCCTTGATCAGAAATTCGGCATTGAGTTAACCTAAGAACGAGAATATCAAAGGGATTTAAAACATGAGAAGGGTTATTTCCACGAAATTTCTATACAATTCAATTTTTATGAGCTAAAGTCATTTTCTTCGTAATTGTAACGGCTTTCCGCAACATAATGGAAATATTCCAATACTTAACCACAAACTGTAGTTTACGTAGAAAGATCTGCTCCATGTCAAATTCACGACCACAATAAGGAAAGGTGACCGAAATTCTTCTTGTAAGATGAGACCGCCAAAAGGAATAGGAAATGTTCAACTTGTGTAAATATATTTTTTTTGACTGAATGGCTTGTGGTAATATATTATTTCCATTCATTTTACAACACCAATATAAGGAAACCCTAACAATGTTTTTTAGATTAGATATGTATCTGTTTTGCGTCAAACGCAGTAACGCCATCCAGCTGATAATAAATTCAACTTTTTTTGTCACCTTTGGTAAAGACCAAGCCGTATTTCAAAGTACTTTCATTTTTTTCTCTCTCTTAGTGTTGGGTTTGAATTGCACGATTTACAGTTGTGCAAAGTCGTGGGGCGATTGCAAAGCAGAAAGCCAGTCCTGTTTTGCTGTGGCTGCTGACAAATAAATATTATAGGATGTACACTAAAAGCAGTGGAGTTGAAAAGTACAGCAAAGGTTGTGCTAATGAGGCTTTTTGCAGCAAGGACAACAACCGTGTTTGTAAAGCCGCCACTGAATCATCTGAGTGTGACAGAGAATTCGAAAAAAAAAAAGGTACCGCACATAGCAGAAAACACAACCAGGTGGTTCTTTATCAGCTGAAAACTCAGTCCCGTCAGTGATGCGTTGTCATTTTCCTTTTAAACATTTGTCTAATTAATAGTAGTGTTTTCCGCTATGTGAATACTTAGTTTGAGTGAATCTTAATTTATTCCGAACCTAAACCAGATGTTCTATGTTTTCGACGAAACGAATCGAATCAACCTTTCTTCCTAAGAGTAATTCACACCAGAAAAAAATTCAATGGCCTATAGACCAGGATTAAAGAGTGATTATCAGAACTTAGTATGTCGGCTCGGAGAGTTAAATATCCTCAAGGGTATAATTTAAAAAAATGCAAATCTGGAAACGCCATCGTCACAAAGTAATAAATAAAGTCAAGGTAACGAAAATGTGTTAATTGTTGTCAAGTTACTGATTACCTGGAAAGTGGCGTGCTTTTACGTCACGATGTGAAAGGTGTGTTCAGCAGTTACATGACAAGCGCGCTCGCTTCCATCGCCCCAAATACAGTCTGCTCTTCGATACTTTTGTGTTAACACCTCCATCCTGCTGTTTGTGACTCGCAAGCAAAAATCAAGCTCTTCAAGATGAAGCTGTGGTTGGTTGGCGCCATAATTATTTCTATTGGGCTTCCATCCGGTAAGTAATTTACCACGGTATACTTTTTACAGGCGCACCTTTTGTGCCTGCAACGACGTTATTCGCAAATTAAATCCGCTCCGTTCGAAGCAAACTTGAAATTGCAGACACATTTCGCTTCTTCAGGTAAATGTTTGACAATTTTCAACCGTTAAAATTTTCCTCGTATTTCTGTTTCCCACTTTTTGTACATCTCACTTGTCAATTTTAGCTGATAAAATAATTTCGCTCTGCGCAAACTGTATCTGTTTACTGCAAAGCAAACTTAAAACCGTGCAATCCTTTCGCTATTTAAGGTAAAAACTCGTCCACTTTTGGACCAATTCATTTTTTGCCCTAAATCTCCTACATCGCATTTGCGTGTAACCACTTCAACTCATGAAATATTTAGCTTAATATAGTTAAGCAAATTTTGGTTTAGGCGATTTGTGTTTTTATTATATATATTTTTTTTCAGAGTAATTTTGTCAATTTGGCATTTTCACCTTTGTCGAATCATCACGAGTTTTAAAATCAGATCAGTTCGTTCGTTTCAGAGAATTTTGAGCAAAGAGTTGAAGCCAACACGCAATTTCATTTCAAGAACAAGACCGACACCTTGGCAAAAGGTGTTAAACATGCACAATAAAAGTTATTCTTTAGCAAGAAGGCCGAGACGGATTTACAAAGATTTGCATTACCTTTTGAAAGGCCGTCAAAATGAAATATCTTCTCTGTGAATAGCTTAAAAATATCAAGCTTTAACCTCATCTTTGCACGGAAGCTACGGTCAAGAACTTGAACAAGGTTGCTCTCACTTGAATTAAGACTTTGTAATCCATTCATCAGACAGAAGACAAACAAATGCCGGCGTTGAGGTTTTAAAATTAAAGCTTTCGCATAATGTGTGCCTAAAATTTGAAATATTGTTAGCAGTTATTTTTTCTTCATTTTTCCCCTATGTTATAACTTTTAAAGAGATTTACACCAAATAAAACATGAACTCTGATCTTTTTCGTAGGAAAGCGAGCGCTAACTGTCCGATTTTCGCTCTAATGCAGTTTCCGTGCAACTCCGCCGGAAAGCATCGAAAACAATTATTCGAAAAGGACAGAGAATTTGGTTCCATTCATGCTTTTTAAGTATTGACCAATCATTAATCGCATCCAACAAAACATTGCACTAGTTCTCTCAAGGAAATCCAGCGGGCTAACTCACTTCGGTCCGAATGCCATGGGAAAATATGGAAATAAAATTGAAACCATTTGATCGAACAAAATGAGTTACTACAAATCAGAAATATGAGCCCGTGAAGCCACTATTCGTACTTGTAGGTTAAATTAATCATACTCTGGATTTTGTTACGCCGAGACGAAATTATCCATTCCTATGCTAGATCGATTGCAATTTACTAATCCATAATTATTACGGGTTACATAAGTTTCCCAATGAGGCAGTGCAAGAGAAGATTAATAGAGCTCAATTTATCCTCACTTGCTGCAACTTAAAGCAAAATGTTTTAATAATTTAGTTTTCATTGGAGAGTTTCCCAATTTTTCTAGTATTGGGCCTAAAGTGCATGACCTGCACCAGTTCCGAGTCATGGGATAAATGCGAAGGAAAAAGCAAGACCTGCATAGCTCCGCTGGCCGATCAATGTCTTAAACTCTACTTCAAAGTTGGCTCAACCGAGTCGTTCATTAAAATGTGCGGATCCGATGCTTACTGTGATGAGAAAACCAACCCTACCTGTAAAGCCGCCAGTGGATCCTCTGAGTGTAAAATCGACTGCTGCAAAGGTGACGACTGCAATGCTGGCACAGCAACCCGCATCAGCGGTATTCTGTTTTTGTCATGCGCCCTGACCTCTCTGATGATCTTTTTCAAAGCCTGATGTGAGGTCATGTACGGCTAATGAGCCGTGTTGCAACTTATTTATACCTTTTTCTAAGATGTTAATCACATTGCATTTTGGGGAGAACACTTAGCTTTGGGGCAATAATGATTCTATAGCAGTTTATATTCTCTTGTCATACCGAAAACTGTTTTTCGTAATTTCATGCAGTTAAGCTGATTTATTTCTGCAGGTAACAATGAACATGGTAGTTGTGAGGCAATGATATTATCCATTAATTTTAGTTTTTTTTCCAGGATGCTTATTATTCACATATAGAATAGAACTGTTTGTGTTTTTTTTTTTAATTTGATGCAGCACCAAAAATATAATCGTGTATTTCTGTCTACTTTTGTCCTTTTGTCGTTGTTGCGCATGAAAATGTCACAGCCGGTCTGGGCCTCTCTAATAAGAACCCCCTCTTTAATAAAAACCCCCTCTCTCTATCAGGCACCTCCCCTCTCTATTAATCACA